TCCAAAGGATAAAACTGTTTTTTTTCATTCGTAGAAGTTTTTATATGAATGGTTTTATTCTATGTCTTTAGTAAACACATCCATTAAAGCATATTAATTTTGTAATAAAAATAACTTGTAGTTTTATATCCGCGCGTATTTCGCAAAAGCGTGGACGTAACCCAGTTATACTGACACCTCCTTAATCGTAAACATTTATAGACATTGTTCCCACGAGCCGTGAACTATGCTGAGGTGTAATCCATTACTTTAGTAAAACTTTCGAACTCATTGACAACACTAATCAACAATTCTATTTCAAGGTTTGATAAAAATCATGTGTAAATAGGTCAACGACGGCCCAATGGCATAATTTGGTAAATATGTTGGCTGACAAAAAGTGTTCCGCAATGTTGTTTTTATGTATCCTCATTATTCATATTATACAACTATATGTATTATTTATGCAGCATGTCAGGTTAATCTAGATTGATCTTACATTTTCAAATACAATATCAAGCATGTGTGTACATAATATTTAGATTATAGAATTCATAATAAGTTTGCAATAATTGCAATATCAATCCTTTGTGAAAAGTCTAGGATGAAAGAGAATGTTATTCATATAACTGCAAAACATGTATTTTTCAGAAAATTGATGAGTTCAGATTGTTTCAAATACGATTATCACCCCTCTGCACCCCTCCGCACCTCAACCCCATACAAAAGAAAACTTTGGTTTTACGCAAACTTAATCTACGTCGGCATATTTGCTTCTTTTTGTTTCTTTAGCAATCTTGATAACATTGACATGTTAAGATTAGCCATTTTTTAAAAGACTGTGTATATTAAAGTATATGAAATATAATTCACTGTATATCTATATGTTCAATAGCCTAACGACTACCCTGTACATGAATATACTTGTACACAATTGTCTTATCCCTTATAACTAGTTTTAAGATTGCATGACATCATAAGGAGTATAAAATTATTGATTTGTCTTGATTTTATCATTTTAATATTGTTTGATAATAGCTCGTCTCTGAAAAAGATATAATCTTTTATTGTAGAATTTTGTCGTCATAATTTCCTGCTCACAGCCTACGACAGGCAATACGTCATTTTTGTTTTGTCTAACGGAGACAATGTGACTCCGAACAACATTTCTAAATATTATCTGATCAAAGATATCCTGAAAACTATCTTAAAACAAAATACCCAAACACATAAATCGCCATTGATAATACTTTGATTCACTTATATTCTACAAATATTATTGAATTAAATTACTTATCTGCAAAAATTAAAAAAAATGAAGCAGATTAATTATTCATTATCAAAGCATTTCTGGTCATATAGATAATCTTGTTCTAAAGTAATACGCATTGTTTCTTTGTTTTTAATTTTTTACAAAGGAAACCTATATATTTTCTTTTCATAAAAGTTTGCATTTTGAAGGGTAACACTTAGGATCAGAAGAATTGTATGATATTCTGAAAAAAATCGTTTTATCATTATCATATTTCATTAAGAATTTAATAATGTTATTCTTTTTCCACATGTTTCAATATAAATAAATGTATACATGTAACATGTACAGTTAGGTTTCACTTAACATCTTTGAAGCTACGACATCATACACCGTTTTATGTTTATTTCTCAGCAAATGCAATCTAGTAAGAAATAACATGAATCTGTTAATACTTAATGTTTAAGCTATATGCAGTAATATCTTATTGTTGTATCTTAATGTAAAAACGTAATATTTTTACATTTAATATCATACAATCTAGATACAATTTGATTGCTACCTTATGATTATTGCGATGTTTATAAAATATTCAATAGTTTACGATCAGAGAACTAATTATATTCAAATTAAACTGAATTGAATAGATATACGTTAAAATCAAACGTTCTCTTTCCTGTTACTAGGGGTGTCAGGTTTATTCGTTTAAACGGGTTCAGTCGGATTTTAGCCAACAACCGGTTAGAAAATGCAATATCCGGTAACCGAGGTTAGTATTAGACCAACAATCAGAAGAAATTTAGATTGATTTTTTATATCCCCTTTGTTTTACTTTGAAAAAAATATTTCATTTTGTTATAAATTTTTATTGTACGGACTTTATTTTTCCAATTTCTTAACGAAATATAGTTATTCCTTAATTTGATACTATTTTGAAATTTTGTTGAGTACAGTAAAATACGAACTCCATGCCATAGCTTGTCGTAAAAAGAACGGAGTAAATGTAAAAATCTAAAATCTCTTTTGCACGGTCAGTTAAACGTTTAATACAGTTTTAAGTCGCCGTTGAAACCGGTAACAGATAGTCTACTATTTCGTTGTAAAAATGTTTTTTAAAATACCATTTACACATTAAACTATAATCATTCGAAAACTGTGCCCCGGCTCACAGATACAACATACTTTTTCATTATTCATTATCGGGTACACCTTTCTTATCCAATATTGATGATATTTGACTATAAATGTCTACCAATTGTAAACGTTTTCATGCGCATACAGGCTTTTGTAAAGGTCTGTAGCTTTGTTTCGAATTAATTCATATAAAACCAACATATAATTTTGAAAATGAATGTCACATTTAACTCATTCACTCTAAACATACAGTATTCCAAAAAGTTATCAAACTACCATCTTCAAATATTTATTAGTTAATAAATATTCAAACAATTTTAAAGAAAGAGACAATTTATTGAACACACAGCGTCAACAAAGTGGAGTTATATTCGATTAAAATGATTGCAGAAGATGAAATCCCATGCAAGCGACGACTATAATCACATCTACCACGGAACTGCTTCCAAAACTCTCCCAGATAATTGAAGGCTTGTACAGTTTATTAACAACATAAAAACACCAGGCATGGTTTCAAGCATATAAGCAGAAACAAGATTAGAAGGAATGGTGCAGATTTGTTCAGATTTGAAATAATGCAGATTATCTTTTTTCTAATCTGTTAACATTTATTTTTAGATTTATTCGCTTCTTGAAGATTGTTAGCTGTGCGTTGCATCAATTCAAAAGGAAAATTACACCATAACTATTTTGAATGTTGTTTTTGCAATTATACAGCAAAAAAGTAATATGTCGCTTTTTTTGACATTTACTTCATATTTAATATTTTCTTTTCACTCAAACGTTTTGTTACCAATATTTTCTTTAAATATACATTATCCTTCAATTTGCAATTTTGATTTTTATTACATAAGTTGTATAACTTTACATTAATACGCATCTACTGTCCTAATTACAACCAAGGACGTCCAAATATAAAGAAGAGATTACTGCAGGTGAAAAAAAATACATCAAATATGAATATGTTAATATTTATAATAAAATTTAGAAATCAAGCGGTTAAAGTAAAAAAAGTTACGATTGTAAAATCGGTATTTGATAAAATACAGTAACATTCGTGCATTTTCTTTAAGAAAATATGCTTTGTAGCGCACAATACAAAATAAATTTACAATAGATCTATAATTATAAAGGAACGTGCTGACTTTAGTTGACTCACGGCAAGCAATCAATACCTGTACATGAGAAGGTGTTATTCTCAAGTCGGGCCATATGTTTTAGTAATCAAATGAAGTACTGCACTTGTTCTTATCAATTATATCATCTAATTCATATATAATTCCAGTTCCATACTTTATAACGTATAGTCATTACCAGTAAAATTCTAACTTAATTCCTTAGCAGTATATTTACATTTATAAATCCTTATAAAATTCATTAAAAATATTCATAACCCATTTAAAACAATGTTTTTATTCAGTATTAAAAGAACGGTAACATGCATGAGAGCTAAACTAAAATTACTTAAAATATCTTAAAAGGAACGTTATATGATATTATCTTAATATGTGGGCGATTTATTTTCTGTTCTTTATTAAATATGATGAATGATATATGTGAAGTAATTTAATTGATATCTAATTGAGAAGACAAAACAAATGGCCCCATTAATAAAACTATATCTTATCTCTCAAATCAAATAAAATAAAACAGCCTTAAATCAGTATCCTATGTTTTAAATAACTTGAAGCTACTTTTGTTAGTTTTTATGAATATGATTATTATGTATTTAATTGTCGCGATATACGACCAAGGAAATAAACATGATTGCATACGTTACATATATTGTTTTGTTTTTATGGGTGGTCTTAAATTGCATATTTAATTATCTTTTCAATATTCAGTTATAAAATGCATTTCAACTTTTATAATCCGAACAGTTTTATTTCCTGAAATGAAATGGTCCGTTAATTTCAAACCACTATTATTTATTCAAAATTGATGCATTTTGTTTATTGCGGCGGCTATGTATGAAATATGAATTACTTTGTTTTAAATTCACACAATTCTCTGGTTAATTGCTGTATTATTCTGATCATTTTCTGTTGATATAAATTCATTGGTTATTGAATAATTAAATATAATTCCGCCGCCGTTATGTATTCTTAAGAAAAATATTATTGTGCTATTTACGGGCTTGCAAAACACGGTCTTTACAATGTAAATTATTTAAATTACAACAGAAACCCCCGGTTCTGCCTCACCTTGAAACGTGAAAACATTGTGTTTGCGGAAAAAAAAATAAAACAAGGTAAACGTAAACGATAAAAATCTTACTTGTATACTTGTGCGTATAAAATGCTCGAATGTATAATATAAATGCAGGTACCAATGTTGAGATGAAAACAAATAAACATTATGGATACAGGAATAATGCATTGTTTATGGGAAGTAATGAAACTATAACGATGCGTTTTTATAATAAACGGAGAAGTGTGTATTTTCGACATGTATACCAGACAAATAATACAAAAAGACTTGAGTTTCTGGTATGTTCTGGGGTTATTAAATAAGAGAGCAAGGATGTTTTTAACACGGCGGTAAATGGTATTTCTGAAAACCAGTTCAAAGATTTTAGTTCATGCAAATACCACATTCAGATTAATTGCTGCATAAATATAAAAAATGCACTTACCATTTTGCTATACAATACATCCTAATCATTGTTTGTTTTATATTCCTACATAATTTCTTTTTGTCACTGTTTGTTCTGTGTAATAAGTCTGTATGAAGTCTGTATAAATGTTATTCCAAATAATCTGTAAAAATAACGAAAAATTAATGTAATTCACAACTGCCTGATCAGTAATAAAAATTATATACAGTTAACAAAAATATCGTTGACACTTCCCTTTAATTAAATAAAATGATCCGACACAGCACGAAACCAACGCTTTTAGATCTTAAGAACTGTTATCGATATTCTCAAACAGTTTTACCAATTAAGTTAAACACACAAAAAATACAAATATTCTTTTTTAAAAGTTTAAAAGAAAATAGCTTCACACTAAACAAACCTATGGAACATTCAATATTCCCTGTTATAGTTACATAAAGCGTTTCTCGAACCCACTCCAAAAATCACCACTCGATATCCTATGTTATTTTCCTTAGCTTCCAATCAATTGACACTACAGTGTTTTTCCGCGAGCAATGTAACTATCTCCAAACTTGTGTATCACTTTTAAACCCCCCAATAACAACACATCAAATACATTTAATGCATTCTAGTTTGAATCGGGTGTTTTAAATACATTTTCGGTGTTGCGTGTCAGTTAAGGTCTCCCGGGACAGAAATGTTCAAAGCTACTGATACTGTACATTATCTAGTATAATGTATAAACCAGTTAGTGTGATCGCTGCTACAGCCAAAAATACGATAGGCTGAATGCAGCGTTCATTAATATTTCAGTCTGATGTATGCACCACATCCCGTGCCTGGCGCGAACAACACTAAACAGATCCAAGAATGTTGAGGTTTTGATTCTAAATTTATGGACATTTGTTAATGAAAGCCTAATTAAATTGATATTTTGAATTAATTAAATGCTTGCTCGGGCACGTGGTTACTTTCATCAGCTTTACATCATATATAAAAACTTGTATTTTCATACAACCTATCTGACATACATAGCACGCCTTTTTACAGGTGTGTATTAATCAACTTTAGGTGTTTCTCTGTTTCCAATCAAATATTTATCAGTATTGTATTTTATTTCTCATTATCGACAGATCAAGCTTCTTTATATGTTCGAGGATTTATGTATCTCAAGTAAATGTAATCAAATGAGAATTGAAACATTAACATGATCTAATGTAGGAGAGAAAAAGAAAAAAACTTTAATAAACTAGGTTTATTGCACAACATTTATTTACGTTGTTACTATAAAATCCTCATGTAAGGATCACGAAGACTTGTTTTAGTTTCTTGATATTTTTTCAATTCTAGTTTAATTATTTACAACCAAAACACGTAAAGATCGCAAGATATTGTTGGCCATTTGGAATTTCTCTTAGTCAAGTTTATAAATATTTTACTGATAATCGATTAAGATAATTGTTTAAATTTCAGAAGTTTGCTTTTATTGCAATAAGGGAAAATACATCTGGACTTTTTTAATGCCAATTATTTGCGTAATATTTAATCTAGGACAAAAGAATTGTTCGAAACAAAAAGAACGTCATTGCACTAGGCTAAAATAACCTCATTGAAAATGTAGTAAACAAGAAACACGACCTTTTGGAAAAACAATTGTAGGTACCTCTTGCAAAATGTTGTATGTACCCAACATATAGAGACACAACAGCGATAAATCTGTTTGATAAGGAATATACAGCCTGAGTAATTCATTTGATCGTGAAAAAATAATGATGTTGATGAATTTAAGGATATTTTTAATGGTGTTCAGAACATGATTAAGGAATTTGATATACAAACTCCAGATATTCACCATGGGTGCAGGGCAATAACTTATCCTGTCGGCATGGCATTGGATGTAAATGGATTTTCTATAATTGAAATGTACCTGCATGGTTTCTGCTCTTTGATTTTGAGTGTAAATACATTAAACATAAATACATTTATCTTACAAGATTATTATACAAGGTGAGGGAGCATAGGATTTAAAATCAAATGGTTTATGGTTCAATCTTCGGGCGAGGTAAAGTTTCCCTGTGACAATTGATTTCGGACATTGCGTTTAATGGTCATTTGTCTCTAAACGCTGATTAAGGACGAGTAGTCAGTCACTCATTTGCGGGCAAATTAGTTGTTTCTTTATCTTTTTACATGAATTTTAAAATATGTTTTTTTTTTGTTTCAGTCTAACTGGATTATAAATCAGCAATTACCAATTTCTATTTTTGAATTAGCGGAGAGAAGAAATAAGTAATTCCTTGTTAGCTAACCGGAAAAGCAGGTTATGTTGCCTGTCATCTAACATGACAAACAAACAATTACAGGACCAACAGTATTTCTGTTCTGATAACGGAAGAACTATCATATGTTAGTAAACTAAATATATATTAAAAATTCTTTGTTATGTGATTTGCATATAATATCACTGTAAAAATCTTAGATTAAAGAGTTAAAGCGTTGTGTAATATGGAAAAGAATATACTTTTTCATACGTTTAGGTAAAATTATTCATTGTATTTATATATACATTCGTACCATTAAATGTTCAACTCTTACAATCATACGTATGAATCACTGTAAAATTGTTATGATGATGCATATATTTTCAAAATTGTAATTGTTTGAAATATCCAATATCCATTACTTATTTAGCAATAGATACTAAATTATGTAAGAATGTATTAATATCTATCAAAATTTCATTCGGTTTTCTCGAAGAGAAGATTCCTTCTGTGTCATGAAGACAAAAGCAAATGATCTAAAATTATATACTCGGTTTAATTGAGATAATTGAAGTGCAACAAATCTCTCGCCTACTAGTACCTGTTTCAGTGGTATTTACTCTTTGCAATAAAAGTGTTGACAACTTTTCGAAAACTTAAAAAATCGAAAAATTTAGTTCGTATTTCTTTCTAATTTTACATGAAAATATTTTGATACATTGGTTTCGGATAATTTTCATCGTATCACATGTAAATGCATTATAAAAAGAAGAGTCATAAATAAAATTTTTGCTCGATTTAAATAACTGTAGTGAGATGAGGATTACTTTATATAGTGTTGATTGATTCTGAAAGAATAAAATAAATATTTAATATACAAATATTTCCCTATATATCCAGTATCATATTGCAACAATTGCTGACACGGTTTAATTGAAGAATTAATGACAGACACTAATAATGTCCAACACATTTTTCACGCGCCTCTTCATTTAATTTAACTATTGATTCAACAGTTTGTACAAATAAATAAAACATAGATTCAATGAACGCTTTAACATGTTTTGAAAAGCTGTGCTGCAATATTAATATATGCTGTTGACGTTATTATTCATACCTACTCGCCCATGAACAAATAATCAATGAATTAATATTTATCATATCAATATGTCTAATGCTGTCAGGTAATAAATATTATATATGTTTCAATAAATGTGTGCAGCTTCAAGATAAACTGATTATCCCATTCAGTCAGGTAGAATAGATTTGAAGCTTTCTTTTATTTGATCATAGAATATGAACAGTTCGGATACGTTTAAAACAATCATAATTGCTATATTGAACACGATCAAAGAATTAAATACAAAAGATGCAGATAAGAGAAACCTCTGTTGTATTTAATAAATCATTGACTGATACGAATATGTACAGACTTGTTACACCTCAGTGAACTTGAAAAGTAAAATAACAGAAATAACAGAAAGTAGCAATATGCAACGGGTAATGTTATTTGTGCTTATTGGAAATATGTGTTTACTACTTTTAAAGTAATATTAGAATATTTAGTATTTCGTACATTAATTTTAGTACTGTTTTCATTTTTAATACAAGCAGAGCAGCATTATGACAGAAAAACTCTGCCTTTTGCTTGCGCAAAGATAGCTTTCACATGATTGTAGAGAAAAATGTTTTCATTTTTTTTATTTTCACTCCATATTTCTTATTATGTCATTTTAGTTCATTGACATTTGCAGAAATGTGATGTAATCCACGGTGTCCCTTTACATACACCTAGTTTGCAGGTAAATACAAGAATGTCATCATGGATAGAAATATAGACAGTTGTAACATTTTATGCTTTGCCGTTTGGAGTTATCTCCAAGATTTCAACTATTTCAATATTTTGGGTGGCTCGTTAAAGTTATTAGAAATGTGCAAAATTATTAAATATAACGATGCATTTACTATTTTTTCATTACTGTTGTATCATTAATCAATCAAATAATTACATACCTTATGACACTTTACAGACACAATATTTTCTGAATATGGTAATAAATGATTGTATGAAACAGATTGAGAATGTAAAAGAATGAAATGCAAAGCAGAATTACAACGCCGTTTAGAGACCATTACATCAAATGTAATTTCACAATCACTGTTGAAAATGAAAACTGTAAACAAAAACCACCCACATAGATGTAGTCAAAAAGAATGAGAACAAAGATTGACTAGGCAAGATAAGTTTCAGAGCCCGCGACATAACGAAGCCGCATCGGCTTTGTACCTTAGAGTTTTTGTAATTAGTTGACTAATTATAGTAATCTGAAGCATTTGTACCATTCTACCAGGCAATTGTTTTGAGATTGACTTTTAAGCGGCTTTTGGAGTTATTAGATTACTCATGTCATTGGACGGTAAACATGGACCACTATTTAGTCTGAATGACATATGTCCCTGTAAACAATGAGAATTTGATTTTGTTAAATACATTTCTAAGAAATCATAGACATGACGTTTAGCAACAACATTTTAATGAACTATAGTTGAGAAATGTTGTTTCACAGGATTTTAGATATGATTATAATACAACGTAAGGGACACAAATCTGACTTTATTCTTTAAAGACCAGACTGTCTATTTTAATCATTTAATTACATCTATAAGAACACTTCTAAATAAAAACTTCTGACAACTGTATCAGAAAATCGATTCTTTGGCTCATTTGTCTTGCTAGAGTGTTATTTTAATATTCATTTATTTCGATTTTTTTTTCTTTGTTGATGCAAAAGCATATTTCGAATGTATGAGGGACAATCCTGGATCTCCGCTGCTCCTTGAGATTGTGTTAAGACTCTACGGATCCTTCTATAATTTACCAAATGTGTTGTGACTAAAATAAAAGACTTTCTGACATACTTTTATTTGTTTTAAATATTTCATTATTTATTTCAATTTTCATAAAATATATCATAGATCTGGAAGCATGTTGCTCTCAATATATGCCGAAATATATTGAACACGCTTCAAAGAGATTGATATAGGAAATGCAGATAGGAATCTCTGTTGCAGCTTTATAAAGCATTGATTTACGATTAAATTATCCGTTTTGAACTTATAAGTATAAGACCTTACATAGAAACAGTTAAATACAACGTGCTACAATATAATGGGAATTCAATTGCATTGAAACATTTACTTGATCAGAAGGTCAAATTCTGCAGCAGTTCTTTCCTTATTATTTTAATATTCAACTTCTTCCATAAAGTAAACAAACATGTCACATTTTCAAACTTTTACGCAATCAAATTACAAGCAAATAGATAAAAAATAAAAACCGTTCAGAGTCAAAACATCTAAAATTAATATACAGTTTTGGTAAATGTACGTTACTGTCCATGCTTTCGAGTGCAAGCTTAAGAAGAACATTTAAAACATGAATTCGTCCATGGACTTGTCCAGGTTCAATTTGTAGAATGTCCATTATCAGTTTTATGGATATCATGTTTAACTTTGAATTTGGGCAGAGATCAAGATAAGATAAGTTGATGTTAATGCCATATAAAAGAAATCACTAAGAAAAGACCATTGCTTAAATTTGTTTTTTCTT